CTGTGTATGTGCTTGGAAACATGGTGAACTCACTAGTCTATATCACGGTGCATAGTTGAATAGGTTTATATACTTCTCGTATAAAGAGCATCTATGTTGAACTGCATATGGGCATGATGACATGCGCACTACTCTGTATCACGGTGCATAGTTGAATAGGTTTGTATACTACTCGTATAAAGAGTATCTATATTGAATTACGTATGGGCTTGGGAACATGTTAGAACGCATTTCTCTATATCACGGTACAGATAAAGTATGGTGTTCGAATGGCCGCATTTAAAGGGTGCCATATCGGATGCGGGGGTGTTTACAATTGCTTTTAGTAGCCTTGTACTGGCCTGTAACTCACCGCACTTTGACAATGACACGAGTGAAGGTTATGTGCTAGGCAGGATGCGGACTTCCTCAATCTCAATGTGATAAGATACAAGTGGGTAGAAGTCAATACACGATATGTCGTCATACCTACCAACACCGCATTAAAACTTTCGGACGCGTTGTGGCCAGATCTCCCACAAACCACGTACGTGCCCGTACTTCCGTATCCCAAAATCCATCTTTATGCACACATTATATATATATATATATATATACATACATATATATGTATATATACATACATACATATACATACACACACACATATATACACACACACATATATATATACATACAGACACAGACATATATATATAAACACACACACACACACACATATATGTACATACGATCCATCTGCTAGTTTAGCTGCGGTTGCGAACTTACTTTTGATCGAGTTTCACCGGTTTCTTATCGTCTTTCGCCGCCTCCACTCCCATATCATCATCCATAGGGAAATCCGCATCATCTTCAGCCTGTAAAGCACTTAAGCTTTCTACACGTACGTTGGCATCTATATCTGCTGTTGAAGGAGTCTCTACGCTCATGGTTGCCTTTCCTTTTAATTCATCCCCGTTCTTATTGTCTGCTGCTTCACCTTCCGATTCTTCTGATACACCTGAGTCGTCCTGCGACATTGGGTGCACAATTTGGAGACGACGTTAGTGCACGAACCATACACTGACACAAAAATGAGTGTGAAGTAATTTTTATATAGTTATAGACAAAGCAACTTCATACCAATACCATCCAAGGTTGACTGTCAAGCGATGATAGGGGGACCCTACAAGTGTCCACTTGATTAAAATTGATACGCATTGTTACTTACCAGGTAAAATCACATACTCATATAGACCCAAAAAAGAAGAAGAATAGAGACACGTGCTTAATTGGTGTGCGCAAGCACTCTTGAAATGGGCAAGTGCACTGGGCTGTACGGTTGTAATTTGAATAGAATACATCGACATGTACGTATGTAGACAGAGATTTGCATACTTCTACGGACAAGTAAAACCAACAGATACACAGATGAAAACTCCACAAAACCCATACAGAAGGCATCGCTGGTTATCTGCGTTTACTATATATGACACCAGTACTATGTACATACCCTGTTGGGGTACATACAGCCACTTGGGGGTAAATAGAACTGTGAAATCACATATCATCTCGAACACGACTAATTAAAAACACTCACTTAAGCACCAACTATATGTACATATATGCAAAAATTTACACACACCCAATATACATACATATATATACATACACACACACACACAAACACACACACACAAACAAACATACACACACACACATGTATATACATACACATACGTATAAACTTATATATATATATATATATATATGCATATATATATATATATATCTATATATGCATATAAATATATCTATATACATAACTACTGATGTGCGTACATGTATGTTAACTATATTAAGCTAGCTGCTACTTGTACATATATATGCATACATACATACACACAAACACACAGACACAGATACGGACACACACACACACACACATATATATAAATGTTAGCACAGTCAAACAGATAGACAGACTAGGATACAGAACAGACATAAAGACATAGACACAAACATAGACACAAATGCAAACAAGAACACACAGACACAGATACATAGACACAGGTAGTCATATAAATATAATATATGTATATATATATATATATTCATATTCATGTATATATATATATATATATATATATATATATATATATATATAGTACTATATATATA